TCAACTACAGATCAGACAGTGTTCCAGTTACAGTTGATGTTGTAAATTCCCCAAACGAATTCCTAAGTTATCTTGAACCACCGGGGATGCCAGGCCACACATTCTGAAATTAAAGATTGGTTCACTAATAATTTTGTTGAGAAATCTTGATCTTTCAGAATTATCTAATGACACAAGTTTAGTTGTTAAAACTTTAATACCACGTGTTATTGAAGCAACAATTACAACTGGTTATGCCAAAGGTGAAGATATCTTCATTCCAATAATTTATTTGCTACCAAGTGATTATCCTTTGAATTTAGAAGGCTCCAATTTCCAGTTACAATTTGTTTTGCAATGTTAATTAATAAGGCACAAGGTCAAAGTTTAAAGATTGCTGGATTGTACCTAAAGCAGCCTTGCTTTTCACATGGTCAATTCTATGTAAAATGTTCAAGGGTTGGATCTCATCAAAACCTGTTTATATTGTCAGAAGAAGGAACAACAGCCAAAGTGGTATATCAAGAAGCTTTAATTTAGATTGTTTAATTTTTATTTTGAAAATCAAAGGTTTAGATAACAATTAAAATCTTAAGAAAAATTAATTTTTTAAATAAATGTTCTTAAAAGTAATTTCATTGTGTTTTTAAATACCTATTTCAAGCAATTTGGACACCTGTACAGGGAACGTGTAATTCAGCTATTGATGTATAGATAAATATAATTATACAGCAAACTCCTTTGTGGGAAAGGCTTAAGTTGCACTAAAGGTGAATGATGCATAACAACGAATGGCGATAGGCTAGATGTAAGAATGGAGGTTGGTCTTCGGCTCTTTCTAGAAAATGTTATTTGTGGAATGAAGGTAGAAATATCTGATCTCCGAGCTGGCATTGGAATACTCTTGGTGGATCTACTGCAGATATTATATATAAGTTTTGCCTCTGCAAAGGATGAACTGGTGTACCACAAGAAAGTTACTCGATGTCAGTAAGATTGAGCCTAGAAACAATGGACTGAATAAGTTCATGTAGCAGAGGGAATAAAAGTACCTCTTTATACACAAGTGTTCCATGGCTTAATCTAGACAAAGTCTAATACAATGGTACCATGTAATGTAGTTATTGAAGCCACAGGTGAAAATAGTTTGTGTTAGCTTGAATAGTTAACTGTCCAACAATGAATGAAGTCTTCATGCTGTTTTGTAATTATGGACAATAGACTATGTAGCTGTATGCTGTAATGGGTATAGTTATAGGTGTGGTAATCAAAGTGAAAGTATCCAGCACTAGAAGTTACACTAGGATTGCATCTGCCACACTATTCAAAAGCAAGTATGTGGCTGGCTACTAGTGCATCTTGGTTAAGCATTGGTTAAGGATTAGCAAACAATTTAGACCCAGTGTAGTAAATGCAACTCAGTGACTTGTTGATTGAATATGGCAATGTATTTGTGGGCCCACGTGGCCAATTGGGCCAAACAATGGTGATTCATCACAACATAGACAAGTAACATACATCCAATACTGACTTTCTTGGAGCACTAGGACATCAGCAACACTGAAATACAGCAGATGTTGAAGGATGGAGTCATACAACTTTCAAAGAGTGCTTACCCATCTCCAGTAGTGATTGTCAGGAAGAAGGAAGATATGCCAAGGTTCTGTGTTGATTTTAAATGGATGAATGCAGCAATTCAACTTAACACCTTTCCTTTACTGAGAAAAGACGAATGTCTGGAAAAATTAGAAGTTTTTTTATTGGTTTAACACTTTGGATCTAGCACATGTAAGTTGGCAATTCAAGCTGGACAACGAGATCAGACTTAAGACTGCTTTTAGCACGATAGATGGATATCACTGGCTCACTCCCGGAGATTGAGATAGGTCATTGATACATACATTTTGCTATTGACTATTTCATGAATGGGTCACAGCTTATCTATTGGTTGATACATCTGCAAAGTCTGTCACTGATGTGGAGCAGTTCATAACATAATTTGGGGCACCAAAAGGAATGGGCATGAATCAGGGAGCGAATTTGAATAGTCAACTGTTCTCTGAGTTGAGTAAAGTGTTAGTGTGTAGTGAAGATGCACTCTTCACCTTATGGTTTGGTAGAAAAGTTGACACAGTCTACAAATTGGATGCTAAGTTTGTTGATCCCAACCAAACCGATTGAGATGAACAATTGCCATACATGTGTATGGCAAACAGTGCTCTACAGATTGATTGACAAACATATTCATGTGTGGATGAAAAATACTACTTCCTGTTGATATGATGTAAGATCTTCCTTACAAGAAGAGTCCTACAATGTCTACAGGAATATATGAGTTAGTTAAGATCTACAGTAACTGATGAGAAGAGGTTTTCCTGATAACAACTGAAAAAGGTTGCTCAAAGAGAGAAGAAGTGTTACAACAAAACAGTAAAGGAACAGATTGATCCATTGATGTACGAGTTACAGTGGTCACAAGGAAGGTGAAAGTACGAAGAACACGTTAATGAGTTGCGTCCATATGTCAAAAATGGACCTGTCATGCACTGGCTTGACCATGAGTTTGAGCTTGAGATTGTCCGGTTGGAGAAGGATTAGGATGCCATACTAACTCACCAATGAGGAACAAAGTGTTAAATACACTTATCTTGCTGTCTATAAGTTTCCGAAGATAGAGGTGAAATTCACCTCCAACCAATGGTCTGGCCTTCAACATTTACTAACCAATCAATATGGATGAGATTGTTTAATTTCAGATACTACCATGATCAATATTTTGAACAATAAATGGTTAAATGTAAATGACCATACATGCGTTTCAAGTGATGTTCGCAGTACAATGCAAGCACTATACTGTCCAATTTCCTCTTAATTATCATAAACTAGGACAATCATTAAGGCCAGTGATTGATCACTGAAAGGTCTTTGTGACCTTTGCTTTTTTATCTTTACAGAAGAGTTTCACTAAATGAAATACCTGCCAGATACTGGATGGTACATACTTGACTAACAGTTAGGAGAATTGTTTAGTTGAGAAAAAAATGGCTGAAAGGTCTTTGCAACTCTTGCTTTTCACACTAACGGGTGGTACTGAGTGATATGATGTATGTACTTCCATCACCTAAGACAATCATTTGGTCGAGCAACCAATGATTGAAAGAAAGTAGTATTTCTTGCTTTTGAGCTCTTGGGAAGTACTGCATGGACAAAATTTTTGTGACTACTACTTGATTATCATCAGTAAGAACAGTTACGTGATTAAAACATCAATAACTGAAAGGGCGTCACGACTTTTCCTTTCCAAGCCACTGAGTGATGACATAAAATACCATGTATGCACTGCACCATATGTTTATTACTTGTTCATCAGAAGCTAAGGCAGTTGGGGTGAATAGTTGTTTGTTTGTTTATTGAATTTCGTGAAAAGCTTTTTGAGGGCTATTTGTGATGATCACCCATAATTTTGAAATGATAGACTAGAGGAAAGGAAGCTAGTCAACACCATTAACTCTTGGGCTACTTTTTGTACCGACGAATAGTGGGATTGACTGCCAAATTATAATTGCCTCTCGGCTGAAAAGTCAAGCATATTCTTTGATGAAATTCGAACTCATGACATGCAGCTTGCTTGGTTGGACTTGTGTAAACAGTTCAGTGGTGAAGGGAGCTTTTTGGAATGGATGGTTTACATTTAAATAGAGTAGGGGTTGGCTTGTTTGATAAAGCTATTAACTCAACTGTAAGTAAACTAGGACTAGACAGTGGTGAAAGCCAGGAAAAACTAATTGCAAAAAAAAATAAGAGGTAGAGAAAAGTTTAGCATCGGAAATGAGTATAGAAGCAGTTATAAGGATAGGCTTAATTGTTACTATTGTAATGCTAGATATATAAGAAATAAAACAGATGACTTTAGAGCACTGGTAGGAATGGAGGATTTTGATATAATGGGAATAACTGAAACATCACCAGGCCATGCCAAGCTCTGCTAAATGAAGTAATAGTAAAATAAACTTCTTTGAAACTTAACATAGTTTTGTTAGTGTCACCACATGTAGAAAATACATTTTTGTTATGAGCTTTATAGTTGATATTGCTTGAGCTTGATGGTTTAATGAGTTGATTTTTGAGGCGTCAGAAATGAGATGGCATATTACTTTAAACTACAATCATCTATTAAGGATGCCTATTCCGTCCGAGTACCATAACATTAAGGCTCCTCAGTGGCCCAGCAGTAAGTCTGATAGCTTATGACGCTAAAAATGGGTTTCGATACCTACGATGGGCAGAACGCAGATAGCCTGTTGTGAGCTTTGCACCATTAAACAATAACATTAAGTTGTATTTTATTACTTCCTCACGTTCTTGCACTAGCCCCCTTTATGCACTTGACACCACTATGTTCACGATACAAACCAAGCTAGTGTTCGTATCTTACTTTTGGTAAAAATCTAACATTTAGTGATTTACAAGTTAGTGCGTTGGTAGGCTCTTATATTAAAAATTAGTTACATAATACAGGATTATAAATTTTTATGTTAGTAAGGGCGAAAAGATCCCTGGAAATGAATATTTCTCAAAAATTCGAAAGCTAAACGGAAGAGTTCACATTTTCCCCGTTTTGACGTATTTGATCTTAAATCAGCAAATGTATGGAATTTTTTTTCTTGTTCATCACACATGCCTAAGTTAGGCGTACTTGTTCTGTGTCTAAATCTCGGATCTTACATTTACCTATTTCTGTAACATTAGTATAAATGTTAGACTAGTACAACAAGTAGTAATACAATTACAAAGTACAACTACTACTACTACTCATTACGAGTAGGCGTACAGCACTGACGTAAATTGAATCGAAGAATTAGATTCTTACTCTTAGTTACTCAAATTAGTGAGTTATACAGCGTTTATTGTATAGTCTGACTCAGTAAATTACTGTTGGTTTAAGTTTAGAATATAATCATATTACTGTTGACAATGAGTGTTGTTAGTCATAGTCGTAATTCATCGTTCAAAAATCAACTAACCACAATCTGACTGATTTTGAGCACAAACTGTACTGCTGACGTTAGTTGTTCAACATGTACTGTAGTATGTACTGCACTAGCGTAAGATATACACATCGTTTTGTCACTCCTTTCATATCTCAGCTGATTATCTCTATTTTTCTTTAAAGCTCTTAATAATGATACACGAAACTCAGCCATAAGCTTGTGTAATTTAAAATCTAAACAGTCAGATACTGAGTGCCCTCCAGTGTGGATTGTATTCTTAACCAAAATTTTCATTTGTAAATTGCTTAAAATTTGTAATAATTACAATTCACTTAATTTAATTAACACCATAACAAACTTAGTTCATGAAATTGATAATATAAATAGCATTTAGACTACTACTACTACTATGTGTGTCATATTACAGCCAGCCTGATAAGTCCTAGTATTGGTAATTGTAATATCGTTTGGCAATAGGCTTTGTTGTCATTGGAAATGGAAGTTGTAGTGTGGTTGACATATTAAGCTTTTATTCATATGTTCTTTCCTTGCCAAACTACATAAGAAAATGACAGGTATATACTTTCAAAATTTATCATTCACATTTTGCCCATTATAACTGACATTGCTTATTTTTATTTCATAAATCATAACATTAACCATTACATAACATTTAAGGACAACAAAGGACCTATTAATATTTCAAAGATCTTAACTCACCTTTATATAACAACCTTTTTATCCCATGTATCATCCTAGTAGCCTTCATACAAAACCCTTTCTATCAATTCCATGCCCTTTTTAAGGTTAGAGTTCCAAAACTGAACACAGTACTCCAAATGTGGCTTAACCACTGACCTATATAATGAAATTATAACCTATTTAGAATTGTATTCAGTAGTGTGATGTAGATATAACCTAAAATCCTATTTGCCACAGCACTAGTGATGGCATGCTTCTTGAAAACTTATCAAACAGAACATCACAATCCTTTTATTTCTAACACTGTTAAGGATATTCCCATCAAAATTATGCTTATAATTCAAATTATGATAACCTATATGCATTATCTTGCTGTGTTTTACAAAAAAGCCATCTGCCATTGATTTGCCCAAATCACCTAATGACTTAAGTCCTTTTGTAAAGACATAGTAGCATTCTTACAGCAACGAAACTCAAGGCCTTAGTATCATCAGCAACTTCTAAGTAATTTTTTTCTATTATTAATTTGTCTGTGTCATTGATGTAAATCAAAAAGAGCAAAGGTCCTAACCCTGAGGTACCCCATTTGTAACATTAATTTCTCTGACTGGACTCCATTTATAACAACCCTTTGCTTTCTTTCATTCAGCCACTTTTCTATTCAATGAAAAGTATTCCTCACACCCAAAGAAATAACTTTTAACAAGCCTTTTATATTGCATCTTGTTAAATGCTTTTTGAAAACCCATGTACGCCAAACTCATGCCAATGATGTAAGATAGTATGCCTATAAGTATAACATTTTGAGATGGCTTAATTAAGTTTAACATAGTTATAAATGTACATTTTGACAAAGTTTTGCTTTCTCCCCAGATATCTGCCAATAACATAATCCCAAATAGATTCAACCTATTTGCTATTATCTTTGATATCTTCAACTCTCATTTTACATATAAAGCCACTTCTCCTCTTTTCTTAGTAGTCTATCCTCATTAAATAACCTAACCCTGATTTCAAAGTAATTTCTGTCATCAGAATTGTTTACAGTTAACTAAGTTTTAGTTATTACCATTATATCGAAATTCTCTCTTCCAATCCTTAAAACTACTTCTGTACTTTGTTCTTACTATACACCTTTTTTGTTTTACATTTTATTTGTTATACATTTACTTTATCCTGGACCTCACCACTATCTAGTACTAGTTTAAACCTGCTCTTACAGCTGAGTTAATAATTCTTTCAAACAAGCCAGCTCCTATCCTATTTAAATTAAACTATCCATTCGAAAAAGCTTTTACAATTGCACTCATCCCACTAATCTTTGATAGCTATAATTTCCATGGCATTAACATAGTAGACTTAGTTTATCTTCTTTGATTGTTCCATAAGATAAATGTTTCATACATATGTTAGTTTTTGATTGTACAAAAAAAAAATTAACCAAACTGCATTAACAGTTAATAGTTTATTGGTGGTGTTTTTAATGTCTTATGTTATAGTAATATACTTGATGATAATAGCTTTTAGTTTTGACTTTACATTTTAACATGAAATTTACCTGAATTTGCTATAAATCACTGACAGATGTTTTTGAATAAGAAATTTCATTGAGATAAGTCAGAAGTATTCAAAAACTATGTAGAAAGTAAACAAGTTTAGTTTTAGCCTAACATTATACTCTGAAGTTTTACTTTTATGTAAAATCTTTGCTTTCAATGTCTGATCTCCTTTTCCAGTGTCCATTACTCTTAGAATATTATTTTATTTTAACATCAAGCTTATTACTTCTCTACACTACATTATTAAAACTTACCTATAAGTCTCATAATTCTAGTATTTGTGTGGTGTACTTTTTCCACATACATTGTAGAAACTATAACAAATTATTTCTAGGTTGGTACTGTAACTATTGTACACTGTGAGAGGATATGCCATTTCAATAGTAATGTGCATAAAGAGAGGAGATTAAGTAATGAAAGCAAAGTCATTAAGACTCAGGTAAGTGAATGTTCCAATGATAAGAGTAAAACCTCAGAATATTGTTGGTGGACTAGTCTTACATTTTTAGATTACACTTTCATGAATTGTATTTGAAGTTATTATAGGTCAGTCACAAAACTTGTGCCATCTGTGTTTTTAGTCCAGAAATGTTTGGTAAATTTACTTATTTTTAAACAGATTCATAAGGACTTCATTTGTATTTACATGAACTAATAACTTTTGTCAGTACAAATGCATATGCCATGAGGACATGTATTTGTAAAGATTATTTAAAACTACATGTTCTGTAATTATATTCAGAGAATATTTAGAGTAAAAAACACAAAACTGATATGTTTTGACATAATGAAAGGTAAATTTAAATTTGCAGATGATATTAAGGTCTTGGGTGTTGCTAGCTGTGAAGAGGATGATGCTGATTTACAGAAGGATTAAGATCATATAGTGAGTAGGGCAAATAAATGGCAAATGTGTTTTGATTATAATAAATGCAAGATCATGCATGTGGGTTATGATAATTTGAATTTTAAATATTATTTGGGATGGGAATAATCTTAACATTGTCATGAAAAAAAGGGATCTTTGTGTAATAGTTGATCAGTCTCTTAAGCCATCCAAGCAGTGTGCTGTTGCTAGTGGTAGGGCAAATAGGATTTTTAGGTTGCATCTACAGAAATATTAAATACAAGTCTAAAGAGGTTATAATTTCATTTTACAGGTCACTGGTTAGGCCACATTTTGAGTATTGTGTTCAATCTTGGTCTCCTTACCATAGGAAGGACATTGAATTCTTGGAAAGGGTTCAGAGGAGGGTTACTAGAATGGTGCCTGGGATGGAGGGTTGTCATGTGAGAGGAGGTTGAAATCTCTCAAATTGTTTTACCTTGAAAAAAAAGAGTCGGAGGGAATCTGATTGAAGTGTTTGAGATTGTAAAGGAAATTGATAGTGCTGATGTATCATATTTTTTATATTTAACAATGAGAATAGTAGGACT